TGTAATCCGAATAGGACTAGGAATCCTTATGGGATTCGGACTGCTGGCAGTTTGAGGGAGCTTCTTTGGGAGCCTCGAAAAATGGTCTTTCAAGATGAATCAATCTCATCCAATTCCTTCCCTGGGTTTAGAAAGTGTTCTAGTTTCCATTCCAACTCGAATCAGCATCTGGATGTGTCCCAAACTCCATATATTAGGCTCCAAAGTATGCACCTTGAACTCGTTATTTGCCTTAGCCAAAAATAGGCAGATTCTCGGCTTAGACTTGGCAACTTGGAGAGATTCAATCATGGACTTCCAGACTTCATCTTGAACTTCTAGGCCATCCATCTTGCATAGGGATAATCCACCTTCAAAACAAGCCATCAAACTCGAATTTTCATCGAGCGAATTGAAAGAACCAAGCCACCAAAGTCGATAACCTGAAACATAGAAAAGACTTAGCCAAATTTTAGATTCTTTCTTCCTTATAGAACTAGCTTCTTGATCAATCCTTGAAATCTTCAAATGTAAGTAATTTGGGATCATATCAATCCCATATGAATATAAGACCTGTAATTTCATCACAAAGACTAGAAAAAGCATCAAATACAACAAAGTGGGGTCAATTCCCCTATGAAAACCTTCATATAGAGAATGCCTATGCCAAAATACATGTTTTGAAAATAGGAACAAAAATAGGCATAGTTAACTTGCTATGTGGCCTAAACACGGTGATTTAACATGCAAATGCCTTAAGAATAAGGGCTCAATAACGCCTATTTTAGGTGTTATCAAACCTCCCCGACAACAGCACCAAAAACTTGACTCCTCCCTAACTACACAATTTAATCCCGACTAAAACCCAAGTGCAAACTCTACAAGGGTGTAGTATAGGGCAAGTTTTAATTGTTAATCTGAGGCGGTCCATGTACTCCTACTTCAATCTCTTAAACTGTAATCTAGCTAACGATTTGGGGTTAAAAGCTAAAGAACTACAGTTGTAATTAAGCAAAGAAAGTAAATTGAGGTGGTTTCAATAAGTGAAGAATCACCCGGGTATTGCTCACCCTAGCCTTGTGTCAAGATTGACCGAAAGAAATGATAATGTGTAAAGGTGTCCTCATCACCGTGAGGAGGTTGCAAGTAGTGGAGAAATTCTAGTCTCTTAGATGATTAGCTAAGGAATATCGAATTAAGTTAGGAAACTAGCTCTCCTGACTAAATGACTAAGGGTTGCTAAGACTACTCCCTCATAACCTAATTCAGATGGCGAAATAACACCTATCATGGTGGGTTCATGGCACTAAATCGATGTTTGAGGCTTGCCCTCAATTGCCCTAATTGGGTGACCCAAATGGTCAAGAAATCCAACTCCTTGGAGCCTCAAAAAGAGGACTTCCTCTACCTAGGTCAATTTGACCTAATTATGAGACATGAAGAATAATACTCAAAGTTTTAAACATACCTCAAACATTGCATTAAACACAAACCCCATACACATAACATTAAATCCATACAACCTATCAAATCTCTAAGGCTAGGGTTCACTACACCCAAGTGAGAAGGAGAACTAATCCATAGCTAGGCCAGGGATTACAACAAAGAGGAGAGAAAGAACCATGGAGAAAACCCTAATCCTCTTCTTATTCCTTTGTTTGTCAATTTCTCTCTCTCTCTCTCGTTTCTATATAAGAAGACCTCTCTCTCACTAGGATTCCTCCCCCTTTGATTTCAACTTTCTCTCCCTTTATACTCAAGTCGGGCAGATGAATGGCCAAGAGAGTTAGGGTTTCCTAGCTAGTTGCAACCCTTAATTGTTAGACTAAGAGAGTTAGGGCTTCCTAGCTAGTTGCACCTGCCTCACGGTATATAAACACACCCTTCACACTAGAATTTCATTCATTGTTTCATAATGCGGGACTAGGGGGAGCAATACCCGGTGAAGTCCTCTCAAGTAGAATTCTCCACAATTTAATTTGTTTGCTTGCTTGTTTAATTTGTAGTTTTCTTAGTTTTAACCCAAAACCGCTTGCTAGATAACAACCTAAGCGATTGAAGTAGGGGATTATAGACCGACCCGAGTTGACAATTAAATGCTTTCCCTATACTGCACCCTACTAGAGTTTATACTTGGGCTCAAGTCGGGATTTTATATTGTGGTAGTTGGAGTGATTCAAATTTTTGGCGTCGTTGCCGGGGAGAGGTTATGGTCCATTATCGAGAAAAAGTCATTTATTGTTACTCTAGCATTTTCTATCTTGTCTTTTGTTTTGTTTTGTATTTTCATCTTTTTGTGATGCAGAGTTGAGCTATGGATCCTGATAGCTTCTCCTACACGTGGGGTTATCCACCAACACCCGAGTGGTGTTACCCCAATTCACCATAGAGCTATCAAGAAGGAGAGGACTACAGATTCGGGGTCGACTACCAACAACCTTTCCATGTTGAACAATCATATCCCCCCAGATGTTCAAGAGTTTCAACCATACTATCAAGATTACCCTTCACAACATAAAGTGAAGAGCCAATTGGAGCTATTGGTAGAGAAGTTTGCATCGGATAATGTGCAATCATACTCTGAACCAACCTTCCCAACCATCGATCCACCTCACTCGGATTTTCTCTATGAAGCGAAGGAAATACGCAAGAGCACAGAGGAGCTATACTCGATGGTTGAGGAATCTTGTGCATGGTTCACTCAAGAACAATTATTAGTAGTTGGCGAAGAAAAGGAAGATGAAGAGGCAAGCCTCGAGGATGAATTGGAACGGTCAGAAGTTGTCACAGATGGCCACCGTGATGCTCAAGAACTGGAATGTCCTCTTGAGGTAGTCACTGCTCTTCCGCACTTCATCTCAAGCATTAAATATGAGGTTATTAATGAGGTGATGAGGAAGAGCGAGGGAAGATGAGAGAAGAAGGTTTGGAGGAGGTAGAAGCAAATGAAGAGAAATTTCTTGAGGATCCATAAGAGGATGTGATAGCATCATATTTGCACCCTCATTTCTTGATAGTTTTTTATCGATTTTGTGCTTTCTTGGCCTATTTTATGCTAGGTTGTGCTCTTTTGTCACATTGCATGTCCTAGCACGTAAAGTGAAGCATAAGCGCAAGTTTCAAGTCAATCGGAGTTCAATTGGCGATTCGGAAGAAGAAACTCGGGCATGACATAAGGAATAATGGATTAATACCTCGATTTATGGACAAAGAATCATGTAAGTTTGTCATTAAAATACATAGTACGAGACTACGAGCGTTTGGTATCATACGGCGACTGATTCGGAGTCTCGACGAGGTAGAAACGAAGCATCAAAGACAGTGGAACGAGAGTTGAGGGAGAAACATAGATAGGAGAAACACAATCGTGTTTTGTCCTCATGTGCCCGTTTTTTTAGTGATGAGAAGAAACAAGGGGAGGGCTGAAACATGGCCTAAGAAACACAGTCGTGTTTCTGCCTGCTGTTGGGGTATAAGTTTATTTTCTACGATTTTTTGAGGGAGAGAGCGGGGTTTTGGTTCCCAAATACCAAAGGGACGAACCCTAGAGAGAGCAACTTGAGAACATTCTTGGAGCTATTTTGTAGGATTTCTTCGCGATTGGAGCTCGAGAATCAAGCTTGGAGATGGAGATTGAAGATCTAGATCAGATTTCTGCATTCTCTCTCTTCTCTATGGAGTAAGTTCCCTTCACTTAGGATTTGAGGAACCTAGTTCCATGTGTTAGGATATTTCTTGTATGAACCTTTGGATGTTATACTATTTGATTATAATCGATTGAGGCATGATTTATTGAGTCAATTGAATCTTGATCAAATTCTCTTGATTTCAGCTTTAACCTTTGATAGATAGAATCAAATTAGGTTAAGAGAGCTTCCTTGATTGATAGTAGTGAATTGATTTTACGAGAGTAAGTTAATTCACTGCTTTGTACTAGAATTTGTTCCACGTAGTGGAGATCTGTGTGAATTGCCTTAGCATTCTACCTCGCTGAAGGTTAGTCGCCTGCCGGATAAATTTTCTAAGAGGGCTTGGTCAGCTTAAGAGATTCCAAGCTCTTTTCGGATCTTCAGCAGTTTAATCAATAGTAAAATGATCAAAGGAAATTACAATTTGGACCTAATTGAGGATTTAGGTGGAATCATACATGAGTTAGTTCACAACCTGTAATTAGATTAACTTTAATTGTAGTTTGCTAGAGTAGTTATAGTTTTTCAATCTTAATCTGGTTTGCTAGATAATGGACTGAAGTTGAGTAATAGTAACTCTAGAGACCCGTGGATTCTATATTTCTGACTTGTGCCATTATACTGCATTCCCTTTCATTGGTTATACTTGGCCATTGTTAGGATTTGTGTTTTAGCGAGTCAAGTTTTTTATGCTGTTGCCGGAGAATTTCTAGATTATTAGGAAAAGCAGAAGTTTGCTACTTTAGCGGTTTTCTTTTTATTTTCACCCTTGCTTTTCACTTGGGTGTTTTTTTTTTGTTTTTTTTTTTGTGAAGATTTGAAACATGGATCCTCATAGATTCTCTAACCATTAGGGGTATCAACCATCATCCGAGTGGTATTACCCCGAGACTTCCTGGTGCAATCAAGGAGGAGAAGACTATGGATTCGAGTTTCAGTACCAACCCCCTACTACGGAGAACAACCAGAACCTTGGGCACCTTAAGAACAATCTCCTTATCAAGAAGAATTCCTCCCATAACCAGAGGTGCCATCTCAGTTGGAGTTAGCCATGACGGCCCTCACGGCCCTAAAGTCAAAAACCGTGAGGGTCGCGGCCCAAAGCGGACAATATCTTCATTAAGAAAAGGTTCGGATGTTACAGTTATTTCTGGAGAAACTCCCCCGATGCCCTAAACAATAAAGAATAAACTACAGAAGAAGAACCACGCCACCTGTCACGCCATAAATATCTATCGCCAGTCTCCATCAAATCCCATCTCAATTATTGAGATCCATATTTGATGGTAACCTCTGCTTAGTTGTGCTCTGCCTTCTGGAGAAGTGATAACTATGGAGAGTGATGGCAGTGGCATTAGGAGGCGTGTAGATGCAGAGGAAGAAGATGAAGAAGGAGGAGCACAACAACGAGAATATTATCCAGCCGGCAGCAGCTGTCCCAACTTACCTCTCCCAGGTGGCGATGACAATCGATTGAAGGAGCTGGGTTATAAGCAAGAACCCCGTCGCCATCTGTCGTGCGTATCCTTCTTCTCTACCTTCCTAGCTAGAGTTTTCCCTTGCTAATGCTACTACTCTCGCTGCCTTAGCCGATTTTTTTGCTAAAACTGTTGAAAATGGATGCGTAAAAGGATTGGTGCTTCAATTATGCTATGTCAGATCTTTATTCATCATGACAATGCAATCAATGGAGGGTGGTTTGGCTTAGTGAAATGAATGAGATGAGTAATCGCATTTGCATTGCAGGGCGATTGGGAGTTTCACGACGACTTTCAACATCATATCGGTAATCGCGGGGATTAGCACACTATACCATATGGGCTTGGGTTTTGGTGGGCCTGTAACGATGATCTACGGCTGGCCCATAGTGGGCTCTTTCACGCTAATGGTGGCCTTCTCCATGGCTGAGATCTGCTCAGCTTATCCCACCTCCAGTGGGCGTTACTTCTGGAGTGCAAAGCTGTGTGGCAACCAGTGGGGGCCTTTTGCGTCTTGGCTTACAAGATGGTATGTCGTATGCACGCACTCCTCCTCCTCCATCTCTCTCATTTCTTTTCTCTTGTCTACAAACCACTATAAGACAATGTCGATAAAATGTTTTTGCCACATCAGCCTTTGCTTAAACGACAGCACAGTGCGGATGGGCTTTTCTGTAAATTCCTAATGCATCTCTTTGTCTTCCAATCTTCTACCGGAAAGCAAACATCTTTATCGCCGTAAACTTCGGGGGAACTTCACCGTCTTTCGCGATTTTCTCTTCCTCGCTTTCTGTCTTCCAGGCCGGAAATCTTACTGCTACTATCCTGCCGTCTCTTACCAATATAGCCACATGCAATTCTTCAATTCTAAGTCCTCCTAGTGCTTTCTATCAAATTCTTCACGAACAAGGCTGCTTCCCAAATTGGATCCACACTTCTCTCTTGAATATGTTTCAACTTCGATCCCACTCCAGAAAATTACTTATCTCAGCCTGGTGTCTCTTCCATCTTCAATCAGGTCCTCGCAAATTTCCTTCGCATCGCCACCGACGGTGGACCCAGCAATCTCGATTTAACTCATATTGGTTTGTCGGGTGGGAGGTCAACCCAATCACCCAGTGAAAATCGAGTCGCAGCTGATGGTGGATACCATAATCTTGAAATCCAAATTAAAAATTATGGTACCCAAAATCAAACGCACGCATCAGCGGAGTTGCTGCATGGGCAGTCTGTAGCACAATAAGTTGAATAAATCGAATAAAATAGGTGTTCAATCAATTTTACTCTCACCTCATGATTTATAAGGCTTTAACTATCACATGGTTTCTAAGGAGAACAAAAGAGAAGTGTTGTAATGTTGTCGGAATCCCGTAGTTCATCAGTTTTGTTTCGAATGAATAGAGGATTTGCTTTGGGGATGGGAATGGAAAATGGAGATTTAAGGGTAAAAGGAGATTACAAGCAAATAGCATATTTTAATTATATTTTAGAAAATATAATTATATTTTATTTATATCAATTTGAAAATAAAATAAATTCAAAAATAAAATTATTTAATACAAAAGAAATTGAACAAGATCAATTTTGACTACTTTTAAATTTCTTAATTTTTATTTATATTATGTATTAGAAATTTTTTTTATCAATTTTACATGACCTCTTATATTAAAAAGCATTTCTAATAGTTTTTCCGCCAAATACTCAATTTATTTTATTGAAAAGTACTTCTCTTAAAGCTTAAGCCAGAAGCTTCTTTTGCAAAAGTAGCAGCAGGGCCAAACTAGCCGGTAGCCATATATGGTGTATAGTTAAATCCACAATAGCAATTTCTGAAAATACGAGCCAAAGTTGATTATTTGGGTTTAGTTTGGGCTAGAATAAGGTAACACTTTTTCTTATTTTTGAGGTTCCATGAATGTTGTCGTCTCTAGGGGTAGGCAATGGGTTGGTCCATACCGGACCGAATCGATGTTTGGCCCGAACTACACTGAATCGAATACAATATGGTCCGATTTTTGGTCCAACGAATTTTATAAATACTGAAGAAAAATGGACCGAGCTGATATTTGGATCAGACCAAAGAGGATCAAAGTGGACCGAATGCACTATTGGTCCGGTTCTTTGTCCTAAGATATCTTTCACTATTGGACCGCGGTTCTCCTGGACCGATGCTCCTCTCTCCATTTATATATGCATGGACAGTTTTGGGACCCACATATTCAACTACTAGCTTATAACCCGGCCTTTGGCCGGAATATTTATATTTGATTATTTATATTTTCATGTTACGTTTAATTCTATCAACAGGGTTTAATTTTATTAACAATCCTTCCATCGAGAGGATACATAAAGAAAGAATGTATAGATTGAACATTTGGAGAAATATAAAAATATATCATTGATGTCATTTTCAAAATGATAATTAAGTCCCCGGTAAAATGCTATTGGTTAGTTGATTGTCAAAAAAGATAGAGTATAAAAGCTCACTAAAATTCCATCACGAACCATAGATAGTTTGAAACTAAATCTTAAACCTCGCAACATAAAGGTTCAATGCTCTCATTTTAGGAACAATACGCCACTAATAAAAAAAATAGAGAGTTGTTGATTCAAGCAAACTATATGCTAACAACTCAGCTAAGTGGGACCATCACAACTTGAGAGCAAATGCAAAAATAAGGGTTACCTCCAATATACTAATAGACTCGATCAAAGTAATAAGAAACAAAATTAGACACTCCTTCTCTATCAGTTCCAGTATATTGAATAAAGAATCGCCTACTTCAGTAAATCAATCGATAATTCCTCATTTTAAGATAGAATTAGGTTGCGATAGCTTCAAAAACCACAAAGCTAAAGATACAATAGCCACCACTCTCCCTTGTACAATAAAATTTTATTCACTCTATCTTCAATCTCAAGAGGTTATATGATCCCAAATGGGTCAATATTTAGCCCACAATTACTTGACAAAGAAGCCATTGAAGTTGGGAGGGAGAAGGTAAGAATTTGGCTAAGTGTTTCTTCGAGTTCAAGCTACCTACTTTGGAAGCCAATATCTCTCAATTGTTTCGATATAAATTCTTTCTCAAGGTGTCATTTTAAAGAAAAAGTTTTTATCTTTACATTGGTATATTGTGGAGCTCACGGGGAGGTCTGGAAGGTCACTTTCAAAGCTCGTCAAGAGGCGACCTCAAAACAGGAAAACTGCCAATATTTGGCTAAGGCATAACACTGTTTTGAGACACCAACTTTGAAGGCCTATATCTGGAGTTTGGAGTATGATCTCGGGCTGATTCAAGCTGGAATGGAAACTAGAAGACTTCATAAACCCAAGGAAGGCATTGGTTGAACTCGACTCAACGAGGAAGACCATCCTCGAGGGCCTCAAAGAAGCTACCTCGAGCTTCCAGTAATCCGAGTCCTATTATGATTCCTAGTCCGTTGCGGATTACTTGTTTAATTAGTTTCCTTGTTTAACAAGGTTAATTTTAGTCCTTGTTTTAGTTTGTTTGTAATTGTTTAAGCTTATAAAAGACCTCATTCACGTTTTGTAATAGTTAGAGTTGAATTGAGAAGAAAACCCCAAAATTACCAACTTGCGTATTGTTAGTTTGTTCTTGGTTTTTGTTGCGATCAATAAACTTGTTGACCTGCTTATTGATCGAGCAATCGCACTCGATTATATCGAAAGCTTCACCATAACGATTGTGCATTCTTCCAGGTGTAAGAATTCCCATTCTTTTCCATCCAATTCACTTTCAAACTGGCCTACCTAAGCTCGTTTGAAAGACCCTATTTATGTGTTCTAGACGAAGGAACTTGTGACTCCTTTGTTTGTGGAGACGCTGTGCAATTCTGATCATTAACACCCATCTAGGGCGTTATCAAGAGGCGTATGTTTCAACCAAAAATTCAGTTTTTAATCCTCCTTCTGCACCTCCATATATTGAACTCCATTCTATTTGCCATGGATTGATATCAGATTTGAAATATTTTAGTTGTCCAGTTTAAATCCCCAAGAATAAAATCGTAGTGCCAAGAGACCGGAAGATTGATTTTCAAAGGCGGCCTTGTAATGTGAAGTGAAAGGGGCGCAAACTATTGCACGATGGAGGGAATTTCAGAGGAAGTTAGAAAGAGATAAGGACAAAGATAAAAAAGTACAAATTTGAATATAAATTGAAAAATGAAAGGACACAACACATAGTAATAGAATTAGTTTCTTCCATGTTGGCTAATTACCAATTTACTATTAGCGAAAATTAAGGAGAGAGCAGTGATTTTAGAATTGAGAAACTACATGAAACTCTGCTATGAAAAGTGCAGTATCAATTAAGCACCATAAATATACATACGGTAGACTTAGTGGGCTTGCAAATCATGATGAAAAAGTCATATGATTTTCAGAGTGTCACTTCGTGTATGTTTTGTATTAAAAAGATACAAAAAGTTTGTTTAGTGTAATTTGTTGCGATTGTATTCTTTGTTTGAAGAGACTCGGGTTCAAGTCCTGATATTGACATCTTTTATATGGAATAACTAATTAATTGTAAAGACAAAAATGCCCTTTATATTTTCAATCTCATTGCAGAAAATTAAAAAAAAAAAAGAGAAAAGTAGACAAAACTCTACTATATATTATTGGAGGAGGATCAGACTTTTTCAATAGGGGACTTGTTTTTAGGGTAAATACAATATATTATCAATAACTATTAAGTAGCGGGGAATTATAGCCACAACTATCGAAATACAAATTATTAGCCATAACTATTGTTGTGGGTCAAGATTTGGCTAACAGCCCGTTACTGTTTTCAAATTATTAACGTAGAAGGCCATGTCAGCATCGTAAAAAATATGATATGATGACTACCACGTGGGAGCCAGCTCACCATCGTAAAAGCTTAGTCATCATTACTAACAGAAGTGTTAACAAAAACTTAACAATTGGCTAATAATTTGTAATTCGATAATTGTGGCTATAATTTCCCGCTGCTTAATAGTTATGGCTAATATATTGTATTTGCCCTTGTTTTTACTTTAGCTTATTAGAGTTTCTCGTCGATTAGATAGATGATGACATAGTCTATGATCACCCAAAGTAATCCAAATGATTAACTACAATGTGATTTCTTGGTTTTGACAAGATCAATACGGACAATTGAAAAGGGATTAATATCCGGCAAATTATTAAAAGTTTAAAAACTTTGGGTTTTTTTATGGCAAAAAAAAAAAACTTTGGGTTTTCATAATATTACTTGTTCTAATACCAAACATTTTCTTTTGTGTGTGTTTGTACTATTCTGCAGGTTCGACATAGTTGGCCAGGTATATACTAATTTACTTAAAAGTTGCCATGTCAGTTTATGTCATATAGAGAAATGCCATGAGCGTAAGCTGAAACGAACTTTCGTCCACTGTTGAATCAAATGAAAGTTGTAACACAATCAGTTCTCAATTTTCATAACTTCAGTCTTGGCAACAACATCTGTATGTGGCCAATTTACAGTTCGATAATCCCCTGAATCTATAACCAAAAACAGAGCAGGAAAAACAGAGGAGGCACTACGTAGCTTAATTTAATCACTCTTAATTAATTAACTAATTACATAATAATCTGTGATGCATCATGATCACCAGAAGAAGCCATCATCATGAGTCTCTTACAAAATTCAACAAGTACTCT